ACACAATCTTTTTGCATTTCACAGTCAGAATTTCCAATTCTCCTTAGCAGTGATTTCAAACCTCCTCTCTCCTCCAAGTGTCTCCTTTTACAACCTTGGCTATTGGCCTTGCCTACATTTCCAACAAATAGAAGCCTCTGGATCAGGACACCCTTACCTCTCAGTCACTCTATTTAGAAATTTCCTCTTTTTCTGCACCTTCCCCCAAAATCTTAGTCCCTTAAAAACCTGGCTCTCAACCACAACTCCAGTCTTAACTGCTCCTTTTCATATCAGTATTTGAATGCTGTTAAGAATTTTCAAAGATGGAAAACTCCTTTGCATCTACATCCATCCTCTAGCTATCTTTCTCTCTGCTCTGCTTCATAGGCAGATTTCTAGAAAGAGTTGCCTGCATGGCAATCTGGCTGCTTCTTTTTCATTATAACACTAAAACAGCTATTCTTTACCAAAGAGCTTTGCTAAATAGCTTTAAAAATACTTGTAATTCATTTACAAAGGTCAATTTTCATAATACGTAAAAGACAAACATGTCCTGGAAGGACATCAACCATCCCAGCTGCAATCTGCATGATGCTAGACACCTTGTGCACACAGGGAATAGTTCCACTTTGTCATGAGATGATTTTAAAATATTTGTGATATTTCAATTTTTTATTTCAAAAATGAATTTGGTGAGCTGGGTATGGTGGCACATGCCTGTAATCCCAGCACTTGGGAAGCTGAGGCAGGAGGATCATTGTGATTTTGAGGCCAACCTGGGCTACAAAGTAAGTTCAAGACCAGCCTGAACTGCAGAGTGAGACCCTGTCTCAAAAAGACCAAAAAAAAAAAAAAAAGTTTGGCAGCTACTTACAGAAAGTAATATATACCTCTTCTATAATCCAGTAATTTCATTCTCACATACTGCCCAAGAGAAATGAAAACAGGTCTACAAAATGATTTCTACAAGAATGTGCATAACAAAAAACTGCGAACAGTCCAGATGCCCATCAATAACAATATACAAACATTGGTATATTCTCATGGTAGAATATTCCTCAGCAATAAAAAAAGTATTGATACATACAACATCATGGACAAATCTTAAAAAAAAAAAAAAAACATGCTGAGTGAATAAAGCTTTGCATGAAGGAGTACATAATGTACGATTCCTTACATGGAGGTCTAGAACAAGCAAAACTAACCTATGTTGGACAAAATAGAAGAGTTGCCTAGGAAAGAAATCAAAGATTTCAAAGGAACATGTGTTTTCCTCCCAAACAGTAGTTATACATGTTGATTAACCTTAATTGAAATGTTTGGGACCAGAAGTACTTGAGAGTCTGGAGTATTCCAGATTTTGGATGTTTGCATAGGTTCTACGAGTGCAGTGATTGTGCTTAAAGAGTTTAGGAACATGGAAAGTTTCAGATTTCAGATTTTTGGGTTAGGGATGTTCAAAGTATATTCCATACCTTGACAGGGGAAGTGAATTACATGGATAATGTGAACTTTTCAGAACTCAATGAATAATAATTTATGATTTGTGAACTTCATTTTATAATATTTGCCTCCAAAAAATATCCCACAGATAAACAAATACTGTACTCTAGTAAGTGATATGCATGATTAAGTATTTGGGAAGAAGTATACTTAATGTTACTATGAAATGTATAAGTATGAAATACATTAGAAATTGAATGCTTAGGTGAATAGAAGGATAGATAGTTACATAATAAAGGATGGCTACTAAAATGTCACACTACTGCACAAAGGATATAAAATTCTCAAATTTTTTCTATATTTGAAAATTTTTATAATAAATTTTTTTCATCTTTTTTTTTTGTCTTCTTGAGACAGGGTCTTGCTCAAGGTCAAACCGGCCTCAAGTTCACTTTGTAGTCCAGGCTGGACTTGAAATCACAACAATCCTCCTACCTCAGCCTGAGTGCTGGGATTACAGGAGTGTGCTACCACACCCAGCAATTTTTATAATAAGTGACAGATAAAAATAATCAATTCAGGGAGAACTGATGTTTTTAAAGGACTGAATCTTACCATCCTGGAACACAATATTTTCTTTATTCAATTTGATATGTTACTCAAAGTATTCTTTTTTGCCCAACACACTTCTTTCTCCATTTATTCTGAAGTATTCTGTGAACTACTTAAAAAAGTAAAGTATGCTGATTATAAGAAGCACAAACAGAACAGAGGGATACAAAGCTAATATAGGTCTAATTTACCATCTACTAGTTTCTCTTCCTTCTATATCCTTTAGAAATTAACTCTATTATATTACACATTTAAAAAATTAAATATTATATATAATGTCTGCAGCTTACATTTTTACCTAAATTATAAATCCTGAGCATGCTCCATATCAGTACATGTAGCAACTTTTCTTGTCAATAGGTGCATAGTGTTTCATCATATGGATATTCCAGATAATCCTTTCTGTTGGCTATGGTTAAGTTCACTGTATATGAGCTGGGGATGTAGTTCAGTTGTAGAAGACTTACCTAGGCATGTGTGAGGGCCTAGGTTCAACCCCCAGTTCCACTAAAAGTAAAAAAAGAGTTGATTATATATAATTTTCTCTTGTTTTATACATCCTTTCCCATTAATGGCCTGAATAAAGACAGAATTATATATTCCAAGAAAGCCAAAATAATAGGAGAAAGCCAAGTTTATAATTGTTCGTTTTTTCACAAGGCACTTGTGAATCATAAACCTTTGGTTAACTGAGTACAGAACTAAGCAAGAAGGCTTTGGAAGATGTGTCATGAAGTCTGGGTCTTTCTGTACTACTATATTAGCAAAATGGCACACAATTGTGTTATCTCTTCTGCTCCACCACACCCAGACAAAAGGCCAATATATAGTTCTTATTTCATTACAAAAAACATTTCTTACTCACTAAAAAAGTATGTTCCCACTACATATACAACAGGTTGCACAATCAGTGAGGTTCAACATTCAAATACCAAAGGAAAACAAAGATGTCACTAGAAATATTTAAAAGCCCCAGGATAAAAGATAAAGGAAGTTCTGAAAAAAGAATCAGCTATAGTTTTCCTATATCTAAGAACATTTACTGTATATTCATAAAACTCAAACTCAGCATGTATACCTGAGACATTTTCTGAGGATATATGTGAAAGCTCTTAATGCTCTAGCGGGGACAGGGATATCGGACAATGTCCACCCACTGTTAAATCACTCACATTTACCTTCTCAACTCAAAGGCAGGCTGCTCTGAGTGTTTTGTATGCCTTATCTCAACCCTTACCAATTCTGCTATGTTGATATTGGTGTTACTATAACTTACTGTGCTATGTACCTAGGGCAGGGTGCCTCTCTTGAATTGCAGAAACCTTGAATATTTAATCCACAGTCAATCAATTATACATGCTTATACATATGTATTTCATGGGTGAATTAGCTGACATATATATTCTGCTCCCAAGATGAACAAACCATTCATGGGCATACCAAATACTTGTTAAAGACAACCTCCTTTGGCTTCTGTCCAAAAAGAAACATTCCATCTCTAGATATATACTATAGTTCCTGTCAATAGACACTAAGGCTCTGAGAGCAAGGCCCTCTCACCTGAGGGCAAGGAGAAGAAGAAGAAAGAAAACTGAGTGCTAGTACCAAGGGGAACATGCCCATTCGTCACATTGATGTGGACAGGTAACTAAACTCTAGCCAAGGAGATATAAAATGTATTATGAGGTCTCTACAAAGGTAGCTTAAAAGGGAAGGACTGAATCTTTTCCCTTGTCCTCTCTCCACATAATCTGGAATTTGGATGTGATAATTAGAGCCTGATTAGACATTTTAAACCCTAAAGATTACAAAATTGAGAGCCAGAAAAAGACAAAGTTCTCTGATAACCCTGTCAAACCTGCTCTACCTGTTCTACTTAAACCTTCACATTTTACATACCTAAGAAAGAAATAAACCTATTTTGTGATTTATGCAACTAACTTCAATCCTGATACAGCTACTCACAAGAAGTAGGGCCAGCTCCACATATTATAATTTGTGGTGCTCTAACAATGGGAATGTTGCCTAAGGTTTTCTGTACACACTTACTAAAAAAGAAATATAAAGAATCAGCATTATTAAATCATTACTAGCAAAGCAGACCTTGTCTGCACATTTCTCAGAATTTAGACCTTGGCTGTGGTAGTTTCCATTAAGAGTCTTTCTATTCTAGTGGGGTGGGGCACCAAGGAGAACCAAGGTGTGAGCATGCTTATACTCCCAGCATTCTAGGAGTCTGAGGCAGGAAGATTGAAAACTCCACTCCAGCCTGTGCAATTAGCAACTTACCAAGACCCTATCACAAATAAATAAATAAGTAAGTAAGTAAGTAAGTAAGTACTGTAAGTATTTCAAAAGGGCTGGAGATGTAGCTCAGTGTGAAGCCTTGAGTTTAATCACCAGTACTACCACAAACAAACCAACCAACAAACAAGCCTTTCTGTTCAAAGTTAAGCATTCTGTATTTAATTCATTACTGATAAAACATGATCAAGTGGCAGATATACAGTATATTAATATTGAAACACTTTACTCAGTTAAATCTCAGGAACTCTTCAAGTTACATGCTCTTCTTACTCTCATTTTGCTGATACAGAAACTGAAAGATTTCACAACTGATATAGTATGGAGGCAAAATTCAAACTCAAGATTACTTGCCTTTTCTTTACATATCTTACCATCATGTTATTCTTCAAAAGTTTAAAGACTAAAAGTTAAGTCTTTCCAATGTCAATTAAAACTTATAGATACTTATGTCCATTTTACAGATTTCTCAACAAAAGGGTAGTGATTTTTTTTCCCCCCCCAGTACTGGGAACCGAACTCACAACCTTGCGCTTGCCAGGCAGGTGCTGTGCCGCTGAGCTAAATCCCCAGCCCCAAGGGTAGTGATTTTTTAAAATGTACTTATACCCAATATATATATATGTTCAAGCACTAGTCTCAATTTTAAGTAAACTCACCTCTTTCATGGATATGAAGCTCTCTATGGGAAAAGATACAAGTCCAACTCCCAGTCTTAATGATAACACCTGGCAGGCCTGGGAGAAACAAACGGCAGCTAGGAAAGTTTACTTTTCAACTTTGCCCTGAGCTTTCTCCTAGCACTGTTCAGGTTCTCAGATTACAGGAAAAGGTGTCTAGAAGCGGGGCTTAGTCCCTTCAGCTAATTGTTCACTTAATCAGATGATATTATTTATTATTAGGAACAAAAAACTATTTTCAAAACTACAATCATGCCTACATTGTAGACACTTGTAACAGGCATTTTATATACTTTAATCCATTTAATCTTCACAACTTTATGAGTTAGGTAGTATTATTCCATTCTGCAGATGAAGAAACACAAGATCAGAGGTTAAAGAATTTGCTCAAGGTAACATAATTAAGAAATTGCTACTAGCATTCAAGCTCTGTGCTTTTCAAATTCCAAAGCACATTTTCTCCCCATTGTGATTGGTGATCAGATACTGGTGGGTATACAGACAGATCAGATAAGAACACTGTTACAAGAAGTTCGCCAAGCAGTAATGAGGCATAATAGACTTCAAATCCTGAATCACCCTCTACTATAAAAAAAATCAGTTAATTAACCATGAGGAGAACTGGGGAAACTGCATACCAGAGAAGAAATTTTCAGAGGAGATGATGCTTGAGTAGAACTTGGAAAGATATGGAGCAATTAGCTAAAAGAAGAGTCAGACAGTTTTTCAAGCAGAGAACTTGTCAGTTGAACAAGGCTGTCTGGTCTCAGGCATGACAAGGAGATGGGTGAGGTCATCAAATAGGACCTCAACAAATTTATCTGCTAAATGAAAGTGAAAACGGCAGACATGAAAAGACTGGTGTCTGTGAGAATGGGGGCAAGTAATGGGGAATCACCCAAAATTTTAGCATAAGGAAGTTGACTAAAACAATTAGGATTTTAGAAATTAACAGAAATAATTAACAGCAGGGTGGAGCATCAACTGATGCAGTTTGAGGTATGCAGGATCACCTGACAGAAGCCTTTAGATGTTATCTAACTAATAAAGCAGTAGGATCTCAGAGCAAGATAGGACAATCTCAAGGAGATTAAGAAGAGAATTTATAGGGCTAAAATTAAAGATTTAATGAGATTGATTGATTTATTTATAGCAGTACATGTTTGCATTCCCTGTGAGTTGATACATGTACGTAATACACCTTAATTTCTTTTTTCATCCCCTTTCCCTCCCCTCCTTTCCTCCTCTATCTCCTTATTTCCTATTCTCTATCTTTTATTTTGTTCTTTATCATTTGGGTTTCTCATATCTGAGAAGGTAGTTAAGCTTGTGTGTTTGACTTATTCCAATTAACATGACGGTCTCAAGATGCATCCATTTTCCTACAAACAACTTCAGTTTTTTCTTAATGGCAGAGTAGAATTTTATTTTGTATAAATACCACATTTTCTCATCCATTCATCTATTGATGGACATATAGGCCACTTCCAAGATTTAGCTATTATGAATTGTGCTGCTATACACATGGGTATGCATGTATCATTGTAATATGATATCTTTAACTCTTTTGGGAAGATACCTACAAGGAATAGCTGGGTAAAATGGAATTTCTAGTTTTATTTTTTTGAGGAATCTACATACTAATTTCCATAGTGGTTGTAGTAGTTTACATTCCCACCAACAATGTAGAACTTAATGAGATTGTGGAGATAAGAAGGCTACAGTGTTTGATTTAGGTGAATAACAATGCTGTGCATGGGATAATGACCAATTTGGGGGCACACATGGGGGAAAATGATGCATCTAGTTCTGAAAAAAGAGAATGTGCAGTAACACTGCACATGCTGTACCTGCAGGGGTAGGTGGGAGAAGAGGCAGGATGGCAGACAGGCAATGACAGATCAGCTGCCATGGAAGTCAGGCAGAAAGCCAAAGAAGGGAGAGGACAGCTGTAGGAGTGACAAAAGCAGTAATGAACAAGCCAGGCAGGAGACATCTGACAAGCATAAGAGGCAGGAGTAGGTGGGTGTTGATGAGTAGAAAACTGATACATGCCACCAAAGGCGAGTGGAGAATGAGCAGCACGCTGAAGAGCCACCAGGGTGACAAAACAGCTTGAGAAACTGCTGAGAAACTTCTGAGGAAGTCCTTGAACACTAGAAATGTTGAGAAAGGCAATGTAATGGAGAAATACCAAAAAAAGGCAACAGAACCTTCCACATTGTTAGTGGGACTCAGAGGCTCTGGAGAGCACCTCACTTTCACAGAGGAAATTCCAGAGAATGAATATGGGCCTTTAAGGTTATAAAAGATTCTTCTGGGGTGAGTGGGGACTGGGGACTGGGAGCTGAACTGAGGCTCTTTGCACTAAGTTATGTCCCTAGCACCCTGGCCACTTTTTAAAATATCTTGAGACAAGTTTCTGCCTCAGCCTCCTGAGTGCTGGGATTACAGACTTGAATATAAATATTTATAAAGCTTTGGCCTAGTATTTTGCCAAAAATTAGGTTGTTAGTCACCATATTTATTAGACACTGGCAGACAATAACTTCTGTGGCTTTGACACTAATCAATACTGACTCTCTCATCAGGAAGGAAGGTTATTCACGCCTTCAGAGTTCCTGCTAAGCTAAACATAGTCCAGTGTATACTCTATGAAAGAGGCCATGAGACCAGCATGGGGGAGGGTGGGTAGCTTAATTCTTTACAATGCCTGTGGAGAGTCTGGCAGTGATAAAAGCCTAGAAAACTCATGAAAGGCCCTTTTATAACCAGGGTGAATGCAGACCACAAAGGCAAAGTCAGATGACCTACTTAAAGCTTTGCTTTTACTCATGAGAATTCATTCTCATTCCAGATTAGTCTCTTTCTAGAAAAAGAAAACCTTACATAATAATCAGAAAGTTAAGATACAGGAAGTATAACTCTCTAAGTTCCAATTTCTCTCAAATATTAGTTCAAGTCCTAGTAACTCTGGCCAAAGACAGAAATTACTTGTAGGGCTCTGAGAGGCATGCTTGTTTATCTCAGTGTAACAATGTGTTTGCTGACTGCTGAGCTTTGAGAAAATTTAAATTCTATAATCCATCCATCAGACCAGAAGTTTAGGCTAGTAATATCATGAATGGAAAAGATTTCCTGCTATTTTTCTGGGATGCACATAAAGTAAATGGATGGTAAACTTGGAATGGCAGCCCATTTTTTTCAAAGCAGGGAAATGCTCATTTGCTCTTTTATTCAGTTAACTTCCTCAACTTGTACCAGGCTGTGCAGGCAAAGGAAAAAGTAGCTCTTGCCCTTAAGGAGCTCACATCTCAGGCACTCTCATCTCTCTTTCGCTCATTGCACAGAACACTTCAACTAGTTAATAAAACTATTCATTCGGGAGATGAAAATGAATGAGGCTTTTCTTCATTTTAATTAATTTATTTTTTCCTTTAAATAGAGAAAAAACAGTATTTTTATCTCATCTTGGGTTTGGGTAGGGGTTACTGGGGGGTTGAACCCAGGGCCTTCTGCATGCTAAGCAAGCACTCTACTGCTACCTAAGTCCCCAAGACTCATTTTTTTTTTTTTTTTTTTTGCTTTTTCTCCGGTACCGGGAACCGAACTCACGACCTTGCGCTTGCCAGGCAGGCGCTTTTTGCCGCTGAGCTAAATCCCCAGCCCCTCATTTTTTTAATGAGTAAAAACTTAGCTGTTCTCATTCTGCAAACTCAATAAATACTTCTAGAATGCCTGCAACAGGTGTCCAAATATGCAAATATTTGTGAGGAATACAAATAATTTGACAGTCTCTCTCATATCCTTCTTCCATGTCTGCCCCCTTCTTGCTTCCCTCCTTCTGTTTTGTCTTAAATGAATAATTAGATAACTAGTCCAAGATCACAGAGCTGATTCCAGAACCCAGATTCATCAATACTTAATTCACTGATTTTTCTAAAGGGAAATGATAGGAAAATGGGGAGGGGGGATAATATCCTACAGCTTTATAAATATAGTTTAAAATCAACCCCAAGGGCCTGGGATATAGCTCAGTGGCATAAGTGGCTGCCTGGCAAGCGCAAGGTCCTGAGTTTGATTCCTGGTACCAAAAAAAAAAAAAAAAAAAAAGAATAAAATCAACCTCAAACCTCTTCCCCACATACTTTTTTTGGCTGTCATTTAATAATTGCTTCTGCCTGTGCTTCTAGTTCTCTTTCATCAGCTAGCTTTTAGCTTAAATAAAACCTGCCCCAGTCAGTTATGGGAGAACCATTCTCTCCCTTCCTCATTCCAAATATTATTGGGATGATTTATTTATTGCTTTAACAGAACTTATTATTTACATATATAGTTACCTGTCAGTTAACCATTTCACTGTGCTCCACACAAACTAAACACCACGTCTGTTCTGCTTGCAGACCTATGCAGCATTTATCAATGTGCCCTACACATAACTGGCATACTAGGTAACAGAATGAAGTTGACCAGGGACAACATCAGTCCTGTTTAAAAGCATTCCTGTCTACGAAGCTGGACTAAAATGTGTTAAGATCTCTATGCAAGGCCAGAAACAAATGTGAATTTTCTCTAGAAAGATATCTTAAGTCAAATTATTTCTACAATGTTTAAAATACAGTGGATAGCACACGAGAAGACAATATGAGGATCAGCAGAAAGCAGACAAGAGCAGTCCCACAGAGGGAGAGGGAAGGAGGAAGAGGGGAAGAGGGGGACCAAAAACAAAACAGTAGTATACTGCACAGATGACTATAAAAATTCCCACCCCTATGCATATGTTTTTTATAGTGACATACAGCCATACTTCCTACAGAGAGGTGAAGTTTATTTCCCCATCCCTTTAATTTGAGCTGGCAATGTGACTTTATCAATTTGCTCTTTGGAAAAACTGCTGTCATAATGTGAGAAGCCTTGACTCACCTCCTTACATGGACTGAGATGCCCAACCAATAGCCAAAATCAACTGCAGATATTTGCTTACGACAATCTCAGCACCAGAGAAACCATTAACTACAGCTGCATCATTGACTCCAGTCAAGACCAACAGATAAACC